GAACATTCTTCTCTCCCTGAGGGCGGGAATATTACCAAACAAGAGGTGTAGTCAGGCATGCTGGAAAGTGGGCCATCAAAGCCTGGATTACAACGAAGAGAAAAAGCGCCAGGCCACACCTCCACGGGAAAAGAGAGGGAAGCCACAGGGTGGGCGGGGACAGGAGTCAGGTGCAGAAGGCTTGACACAAACTGCTCCTTGTAGAGCAGAGGACGTTGGAGCTTGCTGGAGCCCAGAGATCCATCCCCGGGGAAAGTGGGGAGAGAGAAAACACTCAGTCATCTCACAAGGCCCAGAGATGCAGGAAATCCTAACAGGAGGAGGTGCAGGGGAGGCCAGGAGACACAGAGACATGGAGAGACTGGGAGAGGCCTCAGTGAGGGAAAGATGCTGCCCAGGTCATTATTAGGCATGACAGTGGCCTCCTGCCAGTGGGCACAGCCTTGCCCCCAGCCCTGGACAGTCACTAGTCTCCCTCTGTGAGGAGTTCACTGTCAAGAGCTGTGGAACGTCGCAGATTTCATCCTCTTGCCAGCTAACAAGTCAGCCCCCTTTCTACAGATAAGGGTAGAAGACATGAAATAAAGCTCTTTATTCCTCACCGCCCAGCAGGCAGCATGAGCACTGCATTTGCATTGGTGCCTCTTGTCCACCCAAGTCCCATGGGGACAATCTTGTCCACCCGAGTCCCACAGGGACCATGTGGAGGGGCCCAGGCAGATGCTGCACACACAGTAGGTCTGCTTCACAGCTGACGGAATCCAAGCTTAGAAAACCCAAACCTTTCAAAATGGGCATAAACCCACCTGGCTTTTGTCCTGGAGGGAGTCATTCTCTTTACTATACTGGGCAGTAAAAATACCTGCTATTTGCTCTTTACCCCGGAGGGAGACACTATCTGTATCTTCCAAGGCTGTTTGCTGTACACATATCCCAGAAGACAGAGTCTAGAACAAAGGCCGTCAGTGCCTCTGCTCACAAGACTTGCAGAAATGCCAGAAACCCCCAGAGAATCGTCTTGCAACACTCACAAACTGCAGAGAGATAGAGTCCTACCCCCTCCGAGACAGCTCCCGCCTCGTCCCTGGGGAGAGCACAGGATGGAGCAGGCAGGGACGCTGCAGGGAGGGGAAGTCCTTGAGCCTTATCTTGAGGGGTGGCTGAGACAGACTCACGCTAGAGAGGCTCATTCTGAAGAACGCATCCTCTAAATTCCACTCTAAAACATGGGTCCTCCAGGGTCCAGGGACCAGAGAAGAAAAGAACCACGCGTGGACAAACAGAATCCCCTCTGTGCTCCCCCAGGGAAGATGATGCTCTGGGGATGTTTTTAGAATTGCTTAAAATCTGAATCGCATTTGAGGCCATTCTGTGGCCCCTGAATGAGCACCCCTTACAGCTCTCAAACTCCTTCCTCTCTCTGTGACACGTGGCACCCCCACCACCCCCAGTACCGGTGTCCCCAGAGTCACCCGAACACAGCCTGGAGGATCCTGCCCTCTGGGTTCGCTCGCTGAAGCAGCCAGAGCGGGGAAGGGGCCTGCCAACGTGCCTTCCTCTCCACAGCAGGCAGGTGTGAGAAACCTAGAGTTGAGTCATCTGGCTTATCTACGGCCCTCACTGAGGAGATTAATTCACGAACCTTGCATTCAGAAGGCAGGTCAGATGGCCATTTCAGTGACTCCTCAGACCATTCTGCCTTTTCCTGTGGGGGCCCACCTGGCAGCCAGGACCACTCAGGGTCACTCTCCTGAAGTGTAAGTTCCCAGACGTAAGTCACAGCCCATCACAACGCCCTGCCCTTTCTCACAGAATTTTTAAAGCAGAGGGGGCACATACCATATCACAGGATTCCCCGTCTGAAGAGCCCCCTCTGAGGAGCTCTCCAGAGGTTTCCACAAGCCCCTAATCTTCTGCCCCTCTCTCCAGGATCTCTTAAACAAATGTTATGTGATCAATTACTGCATTGGCCTATTTAATTGATTTATATGCCCTTTAAAAAGCTTTACACTGCACAGGAAACACATCTATCATAATCCTTGATTGAATTGGCAAAAGGAGAAGGGAGAAAGGGTATTAAAATTTATTGAGCACTTATTATGCGCCAGGTAATACACACAGTACTTTGCATACATTATTGAGTTTAATCCTCACGACCGCCCTGTGAAGTGGGCATTTTTCCCTACTTAGTAGATGAGGAAACTGAGACCTACAGAGAGGTTCAGGGACCTGCCCACGGTTACAAGGCTATCAGCTGCAAGAAGCAGGATTCAAACACAGCTCTGATTCCAGGCCAACATCTACTTCAGGATTTAAATATCACATGTTTGTATGAAAAGTTGTGAATCAGGAATACGCCCGTGTTGCAGCAGTGTTTCAGTGAGGAAATAAGATCTGATTTGCACTGTTCCCTTGCAACACATCTCTCACGACACCTGGCCGTGCCCGTGTGCACATCCCACACTCACGGGCAATGGCAGAGGGGAGGGCTGAAGAAGGAGGTGCTGAGGGACAAGGTAAGGGTGTTTACAAAGCATGAGAGTTTTCTCTCTAAACATTAACACTTTTTAGGAAATTCCAGCTAGTGAAAAAAAAAAAGTCTTCAACTATTTCTACTCAATGCCATTGTGAAAGGGTGCAGAGAACATTCATTTATCCAACAACGGTTTATAGGAGATAAGTCACTATGTGTGTGTGGGCACAGGGAGACAGCTGAGGACCAGCCAGCCACTTACCGTCCCTCAGAGCCCATATTCTAGAAGCTGAAGCGATGCTCAAAATCAGAAACAGCCAGTTAGGCACAGCCCTGAGCAGGCAGAACAGACACAGATACCAGTGCTGGGCAGAGTCCAGGGCAGGGGACAGATGATCTGAGACTGGAGGAGAAACCCTGTACCTTCTCTTCATGACACAGATGAGCACTGTCAATCCAATCAGATGGAGCCCAAAGACCAAAGTCTGCTTGGTCTATTAGTCTGGTTTCTCCAGAGAAACAGAACCTAGGATGAGATAGGTAGGTAGGTAGGTAGGTAGGTAGGTAGGTAGATAGATAGATAGATAGATAGATAGATAGATAGATAGATAAGCAGGCAGACAGACAGACAGGGATTATAAGGAATTTCTTAATCACGTTATGGAGGCAGAGAAGTCCCAAGAGCTATAGATCTAGAAGCTGGAGACCCAGGAGAGCCAATGGTAAAGTTCCAGTCTGAGTCTGAGTCCAAAGGCAGGAGAAGGCCAACATCTCAGGTCAAGTCAGTCAAAAGAGTTGCTTCTTATTCACAGTAAGGTCAGCCTTTTGTTCTATGGAAGCCATCAACTGATTGGATAAGGCCCACCGACATTGGGGAGGGGAATCTGCTTTACTCAGTCTATTGACTGGAATGTTAATCTCATCCAAAACACTCTCACACACCCAGAATAATGTTTGACCCAGTATCTAAGCATCCCATGGCCATCAAGTTGACATAAAATTAAACCTCACACTCAAGAAAGTATTTATCCTTTACTAAGTAGAACCAAGCTGTTGAGTTCTTTCATTTTGTGTCTGTTTTGTAGTTTTCCTGTCTCTTATTACCAGACTGTCTGCTGTCACTGCTGGTGGTCGCTATCCCTGCCCACAGATGAACCTCTCCTCATTTCTAATTCACTCTGGGTTTTAAAACAAGAATGCTGCTCTAGTTGGAATTTAAGAACCTTGAATGGATTCACAGACCTGGAGGTAAAATGCTGGAGATACAGAGCAAACATTTTGTGACATCTCTTTTATCTTCTCAGGGGAACATTTTTTGCTTCTATTCTGATTCTTAGAGCTGTGATCTAGATAAGGCAAGTTACCAGATAACATGGAGACTTTCTGTATCAGAGTGAGTTAAACAAAATTGAAATAATAACAAAGAGCAAGTCACGTAGGAATGTTTCCACACCTTCACGGGGCAGTTTGGTATTCAGGAATCACAAAACACAACAAATGTGAAGACAGCTAGCAAAACAAACCCGATCCTCCCAGCTTTTCTGTCTATTTAAGTTATCCTAGGAAGAATAATTTGCTCTAAAGCCAACAGAAAAAAAAACCTTCACTGCGACTTCCAGCCTATAAGCTAGTCAGGTCCCATCAGAGAGTTTCCAAAAACAATAGGTTTTTATTTTTTAAAATGATCGGAACATTCAGTACTCAACACACAAAAAAAGTAGCAACCATTCTGCTTGGCACCGTTTTATCAAATGTGAGTGTCAAATTTTTTATAGCTTCAAATTAACAACAAGGAGCTGTAATTTTTGTGTTTGTTTGTTTAAAAGACCAGCAGAGATTTTTCTTTTGCTTGTTTAAGCTTCATTTAATTCAAGCTCCAATCTGCCCCTCTTTGATTGCATTTCCAAATCCTAAATAAAAGTGATAACTCTTTCTGCCAATTGTAACAAACTGTTGGTGCCATGTTATTGCTTTTTGGAAAAAAAAAGCAAAAGAAAAGGAAGAAGAAAGAGAGAAAAAGAAAAAAAATTGTTTAATACTTAGCTGACAATATTATCCAAAAGTGGGGAGAAAACCCTGGACTTTCAAAACCACCCACTATATGTGTAACAACCTCTTTACTGAGTTCATGAGTTCATGTATCTTCTTTATTGTTCTTCATAAACAGGCTATTGGATCTCTAGCTTGCAATGTGAAAAAGGAAAGAATTCCCTCCCATCCGTGCCTCTCTTATCTCATAATTGTTTTGTTCTGAGAGGTAGGGGAGACCCGTATAAATGTCTCCGCTGTTTTATTTGTCCTCTCCAAGCCCATTCATGCTTTTCTCCAGGGCTTTTGACTCCTGTTCTGTTTCTGCTTGAACCACTACCTGCTTACTGTTCTCTGCATCAAACCCCACTAAAGTGTTTGAGATTTCATTTCACAGGGTGATGTAAGAGAGATAAGAGTCAAAGGCACGTTGAAAGCCACTTTCCAGCGTGTCTGTGCGGGGTAGGTTGGAGGTAGAGACGCTTAAGGAACAGCTCACCTGACATCACAGAGAACATCCCGGTTGGGGTCTGCGACGTCCTCGTGCAGCGCGAGCATTCAGCCGCCTCTCTTCTCTGTTCCTTCCGGAGGGCCCTGTGGCTGTGCCTTCTGCTCCTGCTGCTGCAGCCTCAGAGGATCCCCCTTCTCTCTGAGCTCCAGCCTCATCGTCCTCCCCATAAAGCTGAGGTCCTCCCACGACAAGAACAGCCCTTATCAGACACAGGCAGGTCTGAGAGTCTGCAGAGGGGCTTGCTGGGGAGAAGGCAGAGTTTTTCAATGTAGTTAACTGTCCTATAAATATAGGAGATGCACACTCCAGGAAGAGACCATGGAAAGGAGTCTGGAGGGGGAAAAAAACCGTTTACTAAATCCAAGTTCCTCAGTGATATGCATTAGTGCACGCATATCAGATCTGAGTATTGGAGCAGTTCCATGTAAAGAAAACCACGAACACTCATTAGTCAGGCTCTGCTGGGATGGTGCTTTGTAACAAATAATCCACAACTCTCAGTGGCTTACAACAGACATCTCTTTCTCTTCATTCATGGGTCCACAGGTTGGCTGGACTCAGCTGGGCTTGGGTAGATCTGCTCCATGTGTCTCTCCATCATGGAACCGGGATTCACCCAGGGTATACATACCTCATCATGGAGGCAGGAGTACCGGAGGGCAAACCTAAACATTCAAGGCCCAGGCACACTTTTGCCATCGAGCACTGGTTACACAGCCATGCCCAAAGTGGATGAGGCAAATAAACACGCACCATCCTGAGAAGGAAGAGAGAGGGGATACTGAGTGACTGCTCAACAGCAATTCTATCTACCACAAACACACACACACACACGCACACGCACAGACAGACTTACAGGGCCAGAGAGAACTGCTTTTCAGCGAGGCCACAAGTCCTATAAAACAAGTGCCTGCCCTTTTCACCTGTCCTATGCTTGTTGGAGCAGCTCAACAAGGACAATTTTGAATGTGGAACTGAAGGCAATTTTAAAAGCCATCTAGTCCCACATCTTCACCAAGGGAAGTTTTTAGTAACAGCTCCAGTAATGGCAACCCACTCTAAGCACACAAAATGAGTCTTCTCCCACAGTATGGTAATGACTCAGTTATCAGTGTCTAGCACATAGGTATCCCCTAAGCCTTCCCTTTTCTAAGTGAAAGGCTTGAGTTTCTTTCTGTCAAAGCCCATGGTTTCGAGTCCCAGTTTCCTCCAGGCACCCACCATTTTGTTAACGTACTTCTCATGCTGAGAACCCAGAACTGTGCCCAGAGCTCCAGAACTACCACAACTGTGTAAGCAGAACGGGGTGATGCTCTCCCTGGTTCTGAGCAAGTATCCGTCAGACAGTGACCAGTCATATGTCTTACTCAAGTTGCATTTAAAGTCTCCTGGAGTCAAGACAGTCTTACATGTCCTGCTTAACCATCATCAGTAAGTACTTATGGGGCTCGTGTGACATGGCCTGCATCCTGCCAGTGCTGGGGATGTGGTGGTAAGGAGAATTGTCAAAAGTGTCCAGGCTCTTCTGGAGGCTACTTGGAGAGACAGATAAGAAATAAGTAAAGAGACCAAAAAATAAGAAAATTGAAATACATGCTATGAAGAAAAAGAATAGGTAATACGAGGAGGGGAGAGGGAAAAATAAGTCGGATGTGGTGGCCAGGGATGGCCCCTCCAAGGAGGTGAATTCCCGACGTCTGAGAAGGAGGCCAAGGAAGCTGGCCAGGCAGGAGTCAGCCCTGCAGCAGGAAAGGGCTGAGACGTGAAGGCAGCTGAAGGCAGGCCAGGTGGCAGGACCCAGAGACGGCGAAGGGTCAACAGGTCCAGTTGGCCGTGAAAGGAGCAGAGTTCATTCTGAGTGCAGGAAGAAGACACTGGTGCATTTTAGGCAAAAAAAGGGCATGATGCACCTTGGGTCTTGAGCACATCCTTAGCATCCTGAGTGTGGGCATCCGTGCACAGGTATCCATGCAGTCCTTTGTGGAGAGAAGGCCTAGCTGGGAAACTTGAAGTCTGCCCCACTGAGTTTCTCTTTGTAAATTTAGGCCCCTTGATGCAGCCTGTCAGCCAACAAGCCAGCTTTACCTCGCAGCTCTGTGGCACAGACACAGGCCAGGCAAGGAGGAGATGTGACTCTAATGGGTGAACAGCAGAGCCCTCAGGCACATCACCTGAGATAGAGAAAGAATAAAGATTTGACAGAACTTTAAAAGCAGAGCCTTCAGCAGCCCTGATTTTCAGGAACATGTGGCTCGTCTTCGTAAACAGCCAGCTCCATGGTGAGGAAAGAGTCCTGGGTGACGAGCAAAGGTGTACAAAGCTGCACCCTCCGGGAAACAGCAATACAAAGCACCTTCCTAACCAGCCGAGCTGGAGCTGGTGTCAGACACCACCGGAGTCTTACCAGGTTGGGAGGAGGAGAACTCGGCACACTGCTTGTGCAGACTCGCCGGCAGGTCGGGGTGACCCCTGCTTGGTGGGCCCGTGCTCGGCCCGCTGGGATGGCACTGCCCCACCTTCTCCCCCAGCCATCGCCATGGGCCACTGAGCCAGTCTGGACCAAGCCAATAGGATGTGCGGAGACCAGAGGACTAGTGAGGAAGTAGGGGGTCCTTCAAGCGCAGCCCAGCGGGAGTGGAAACTTGAGAGTCTGACCCGCGGAGACGAAGGAGTAGCTGTCAGCACAGATAAGACAGACAGAGGAAGTGCTGTGGATAATCAGAGGCTTAGAGTTACCGAAGACTCTCCTGAGCCCACATGCAGGAAGGCTCTGAGAGACGCAGGAGACACCCGCTGATTAGCTAGGGGTCCAGGGAACGCTGGCAAGTCTCACGGAACCAAAAAATACATAGATAGAGATAAAGATATGTAGATAGCGACAGAGATAGACAGATAGATAGGGATACATCTTACTAGCAGGCATCTTTTTTTCAGTAAGTGACCTCCCTCAAGGAGCAAGAAACTCTGGAAAAGGAAGTTATGACTGAGAGGGTGGGCACAGCTTTTGCGGAGAACAAAGGGAAGGGAGCGCCAGGCAGCTGAAGGATGTTCTGTCTCACCCATTGCCTTTCTCTGCCTCCTCTCCTGCCCAGCCTCAGGGGGACTCTGTCCTTTGTCATGTGGTGTCCTTCTTCCTTACTTCAGCCTCGTGATCTTGTCTGAATAACAGACTTCAAGGGTCAAACCCAAATTATTGAGAAGGAGGTGTTTCAAACTTCTAATCCTCATTACATTTTTCTGAGACAAAACAGATTTTAAATCAATATTATGGTGTAATCCTATATTTAAAAACATAGTATCTATTACTATAATGGACAGAGTATTTATATATGCACATATACAGAGGGGCAAAAGTCTGACAGAGGAGTTTTAGGGCAGTGAAATTCTGTCTGATACTATAATAGTGGGTGCATATCATTATCTGTTTGTCCAAATCCATAGAATGTACAACACCAAGGGTGAATCCTAATGTCAACCATGGACTTTGGGTGATAATGACCCCCTCTGGCGGGGGATGTTGGTGACGGGGAAGGCTGTGCATGTGTAGGGGCAGGGAATACACGGAAACCTCCAGACCTTCCTCTCAGTTTTGCAGTGAATCTCAAACCACATCAGTGGGTTTTTTTCTCTAAAAAAATACAATCTTTATCTTTAACAAAGTTGATCAGATATTTATCAGACAGATTATAGTCTTCTGCATTCATTCATTCCCTTGGAAACTTGTAAGAACCTGCTACGTTAGACATTTTACCAGCCCTGAGTATCAGAATTTAACTAATTTAAGTAATTTACATTTCTTTCTTCATTCTCTCTTTCTTTTCATATGTCTTTATTTCTCATCTTTAAAGTCAACATATAATGATAGTGAACCAAAAAGAAAGAGCTTCAGAGCAGGCCTCCTCCTCGCACCTGCCCCTACTCCCTCCTCCCGGGTCTCACACCCCAGGCTAGGCACCCTGCGGGAGAAGCTTCAGACTTTACTGCAGCGTTTGGACATGAAGTTCCTGCTCTGCTCTTGGCCATAAAACCCCCCTGAAGCTCAGAGGAAGCCCCACCCAGCAGCAATTCCTAGGGCTAGGATCTGGGTGGCTGTGAAGAGCCCTGTCATCTCACCGAGGTAATATGGTTCTTAGTTCACGCAGCACTGGAGAGGCAGCAAAGGCGATAAATGGAATTTCTGCTCAGTGAGTTGATGATAATAATAAATAAGGCCTTTTCTCCAAAGGCTTGAAATCTGTTGGCTCATTTCAATGCACAAAATTATTCATTTAAAAAATCCTCCCCACAGACTTGAAGTAGGTGGGGGATTAGTAATCATTAACCCCATTTTGCAGATGGAGAAACCAGGACCCAGCAGGAGCTGAAGCTCATAACCACTGGCAAAGCAGGCGGCCTGACTCCCCAGCCAGTGCCCTATTTGGAGAGGGTGCGATCCCAGCCTCAAGCTGGCACTGGAAGCACAGGCCCAGAAAGTCGTTTCTGTATCCTCAAGAGTCTATGTTGAATTCTCCATCTCTTCTTCTAACTGCTTCCCTCCTCTGTCTCGGAGCTCCCCGAGCATCAGGCTAACATCTCTTGCTCTTCCTCTGTCCTCCCAAGACTAAGAAGACTGAGGGCAGAGTCCAGACACCCCCTCTGCATCCCTCACACTGAATGTGCTCAGGACAGGGCCCCCCAAAGACCGCTTATGCTTGGTGATTGATGATGCCTGGACCAGCAGAACCGTAGCAAAATAACTTCTCTGGTCCAGGCTCTGATATTTGCCAGGAGAATATTGCCTGGGGAGGCAGAGGCAGTCATGTGGCTCCGAGCAGGGACAGGACATCCTTCTCCTGCTCTGCCTTTGACTGTCAGAGCTTCCAGGCTCGGGTAACCATGGTAATCACCAGCATTAACCACGGCAGTGACAGGAGCCTCAGCCAGCCGGCTCTGACCTGCTCCTACTGCAGCTGGTACACCAGCTTCCTGCCACCCATGGGCCCCCAGCTCTCACCCCTGCTGCCTGTGCCCAGGGGCTGCAAAAGATGGTCTACCTACCAGACCCAGCAGTCAACGCTGGAGGGAGAAATGGGCCCTGAGCCTCAGGTACCTGAGCGGGGCCTGGGGCACAAGAAGTCTAGGATGTGGCCATGTTGGTGGTAGCCAAGGACCAGGGCTCATTCTCTGAACTCCCTGTCCAGTCCTATCCCTGCCTTCAAAGACAGCAGCCCTCAGCCAGTCACCAGAGGAGGCCAGCCTGACCTGAACCTATGGGAGCCCCTCCTGGCAGAAATTAGGGGCATCCATAAGCAACCTTCCTTTGCCCTTGAACTAAGGGCCATGTCAAAAAAGCCACAGCTGACTCATTCTTGTGAAATTTGGGTGCTGCCCCTCTGACCCACCCCACCATGCCCATCAGCTCCACTGACCCCATGTTTGAGATTTGGGGAGCCAGCTTTCCCTATCCCCTGACCTCTGACACCAGCTGCATATCCTACCAGCCTGGCCTCACTTCCTCCTAAGCTGGCTCTCCACCTTTCCCTCCTGTCAAGCACTGAACTGTTTTTCCAGGTGGCACAGGGCTGAGGCACTGCCGAGAACCCAGGAACCTGTCCTTGGCAGCTCTGAGGGCCAGACCAGACTCCCCACAGAGGAACGAACTGAGGCGTTTTCTCAGGTCTTCGGGTCCTGGGAGCACAGGACAGCTTCTCTGGGCTCCCAGAATCCTGGCCACAGAAGCCCCAGGGTTTGCAGCAGGCCTGAGACTGTACCCCGGAC